GACGGACATTGACAGCGGACTAGCCTTGCTCCAAGGCTGTACTGAAGGCTGAGCCTATGAATGTATAGTAATTCTATCCTTTGAAGAGGCAAGTCTAGATGAGCGGACAAGGACGCCAGACTGTTAAGAGGGATATTTTTATTTTTGAGAAATTATCATATAAACTATTAATTATTACCTTAGGGACTTAAGCAAGTCTAACAGCGGATAATCGAGGTTGGTTATTCTCATGCGTTCACGTTCATATGTGCAGAAAGTATTCAATTTGTGTTCATACCATTTTGAATAGGGCAATTATATTTTTCGTATGCACATTAGTTGGTTGGGATAACTCGATAGACGTTTGCTTGTTTTATTCTTATCCTATATGAATTCTGTAAATGTGCACATATGCGGGCATCCTTCATTTTCGTGATGATGTGTACAGTTTGGGGAACGGACATGTAATATTAATGACGTTGTCGATTTTTCTGTTGACAACATTGTCCTTCTCTCTCATTATTCTAATGACCACTGGTCCATTTGAAATCACCATTACTCAAACTTGACACCTTTCCAACGATTCCAGCAACACATGTTACGATCACATTCGTCGTCATCATGGGGGGTCATCACGTGACACCGTGCAGCGGAGAGAAATCGATCACGTGACAACACCTCCACCAGAAATGGTCACGCGATGTTATCGGAACTGTCTACGCGTCACTCGGCGTAGGAAGCGGTTTCACTTTTATTCCGAATAATGCTATCACTTAATCTCGGAAGACACCTATTCAGCTTGTACATTTCGTTGTCAATAGCGTGTTAATTTCAAGGTCTGTAGGTTCCTCGTCAGGTAGGGAGTGGACTGTCATATCATCACTGCCAATTTCCTCACTCCAACAATTGACATCGACTGTACACAATTTAACAGAATTGTCAAAATATACAGAACCGAGGCTTAAATGGACAAAGGCCGGCCCCAATCGAGCAAACGAGTGGTATTCTACTCTGATTGTGCGGCCACTGCACGGATAGAAGTAATCTAGAAATTGAATGCTATCTTGTCATCACATGGTCAATATCATTATAAAATCTGCTATATTTCAGCCTATAGATTGATAGCATCTCGCTGGGCCGGTGTAGTGTTACATGTCGACTAGTCTTCCGGCGCTACACCGGTAAACATGGAATGACTCATGGTCAGTATTTTGAAAAGGAAAGAATTTCTTTATTATGACCGAAAATAGCTAATAGGATATTAACAGACATATCCAGGGTGATATCTCCATGGTGAGACATACAGGAATGTGTACATACAGTTTAATATTAGTCTGTCATACAGACCCTGAAGCAAATATATCCAAGAAAGCCCACTCAAATCAAGAAAATGTGGCAAGTCTTGCTTTTGAAAATGAAGAAAGTCTCAGGGCTCCTTTTCATTATATCATATTTTTTACTATGAACTTTACTAATGTAAAACATGTTCATTCAGAGACTAGTTGTTAGTCTATTTAAATATAATCATGTAATTTACAATTTCTTCACTCAAAGGATGTTTTTCTCATGCTTCCTCAATACTGTATTTCACTGTACAGTTAATACCCACGCATTACATAGGTATGTTCTCTTCCATAGTTTAAAAGAGCTAGCTGTTTATTATATCGGTAAAAGCCCAGCTGTATAAATATATAGCGGCCAGTAAATAATGCAGTCTGGACGAGACCAATCAGACAACAACGATCCACGGCATCAGGATTCGAAGACATGGCACCAGGATCCGAAGACACACCGTTTACCAACTCCCCGAGCCTGCCCATTTCGTGTATATTGTCACCTCTTATGACATACATAGGCTGCAGAGGTATATTTCCCCACCTGAACGTATTACTCCAGGAACCGACTGTAACGTGTGTTTTTGGTTTTGGTAGTGACCAAAATATCGTGTGTCTGTGTTGTTTTTCAACAACGGGCCCATAGTTAACGGAGCTCGGTGGGTTCACGTTCTTGGTAGCGTCTTCCGATTCGTCTAATGCGTCGCTTTTAGCTGGACAATGTTGCATCTCTTTGGTGTGTGGAGATCTTTCATTTCGGGTGTGAGTTCGCTGAAGGTTTCGCTCTCAATATTATCCTAAGTTTGTGGGCACCGTGTGCCAGAGCAGCAAACATGGAGGACCTAGCCACCTCGAGCCTCCGACTCACACACTTGACACTCTGTGAACCAAGGAGTGGTTTTCACTATCAGCAATATTCCAGGGGCTCCTGTCACGAAGCAACCTTCATAAGGTTAACCATAACTCCCATTCTTTTAACATTGCACTAAGGTTACCTTAATGACTTACGATCACCTGGAACATGAACGGGGGATCACCAGGCATCGAACCCGGGCTTCCAACAAACGCTGTAACAACGAGATTTCAGCCCCCAGCCATAAAAGACAAGTACTCTGCAGAGCGATATAAAAATGAATTCTCTCTCTCTCTCTTAACAGAGTGTGGTGTAGCCAAATATAGTTAAAGGTTTCCTTCGTCATGCTATGGTCCGTGTTATATTATCCACATACATACATGTATCTTGTATTGTACAATGTGTAAAGGCACATTCCGTGTGTTCACACCCCGTAAAGAGTCGGGTTAAAACTCGTCTTCAACAACCCCTGCTTGTCGTAAAAGGCGACTAACGGGATCGGGTATTCAGGCTCGCTAACCTGGTAGATGCATGTCATCGTGAACCCACCGAGTGTATCGATGCTCATGATGTCAATCACTGGATTGTCTGATTACGACTAGATGGTTTACAGACCACCCTGGAATATGGCAGACTGAGGCGCCAAACCCCAATCCAGAATAAACTCGCGTTCCCAAAATATTGATAAAAACGTCGTAAAACCTACTCACTCGTGTTTTGGCACAAGTATGGGACTTGTTCTTGCCGCTGAAGCATTTTCAATATATTCTAGTTATTTATAAAATGTTATCTGAATTTGACAACAAGACAGGGCGTCGAATAACTGTACTTGTTTGCATACACAATGGCATCTTTTTACGATCACTGTTGCAATATTTAATATTATTTATGTTGAAATTGCTCGTCTCGGCGTGTATGATGACGACAACGCTTTAACCATTATGTATCTCCTACAATACACCCATCACATTACACTTTAAGTACCTTGTCCTACCTTGGAATATCAACATGATTAAACGAGTTCCTAACAAAAGCTCACACGAAATGCCAACAAAAGCTCACACGAGCATAAACCAGGTCCCCATTACCGCCGGACCTCTTATTCAGATTTTATTGCCAAAATATTCACCGAGCTTAGAACGACGGACTTCATTCAAGAGGAGTCGTGTGACAAAATGGATATTAGCTTTAGGAACAAAACATAGACTTGCCATCTCGCCTGTTGATAAATCATATTTTTATAATTTATGCTTAAGAACTATTGATAACGTTAGCACTTATTCACGATATTTATTCACTGGAACTTAGGTCTTCCGCGTGCGTGATCGACATAATCTCCCGCCACCTGTGAGTGTGGATGTTTGTTGAACGATAAACTGTGTAACCGCCGACATATATTAAAGATTGTGTGTGATCTCTCATCGATTTTGACTCAACAACAGATCTTATTAAATACATAATTATAAATAAGAACGACGGGTCGTTCAAGTCCTGCTATATTAGATGATGTGTCGGTGTGTATGTTCTCTGTGTCCTTCACGGTTGACAAGTTTGTAAAAATGTCTTTGATCAGTTGTACATCGCATACGATATCGATGACAAATGAAGTTCTTGAGTATCTAAATATATTGACACTCCTGAATAAATATGAGTTCATAAATACCTATGTCAGCATGTAAAATACTGACCTCTGTCAAGCCTCAAATAAGAGATAAAACTCATTCGTCTAACGGTAAAATGTTATCGAGTTATAACCGTTCTTGGTAATAGAATTCTTTACGTCAAATTACATAATTATCCTTACCACTAAAAGACTTGGGAAAGTGATAAGCAACAAGGACTATCTGGTAGATAAATGTTACTGCTATCGTTTCTTATCAACACTTTGATTGTACGTGCCTTTCAAGTGCTTATGAACAAAATAATAATTGATTTCAAACACATACCAATCATGTGTGAATTGTACGACAGAATATAGTTATAATTACCTCCACCATTCTCGTTTCTTTATTTACAGATGTGGTTATATATTTGCTACATTATCCATTCCATTAAAAAGTAATAATAGTACAAATATCTCTGTAAAATGATTATTTTGAGAAGCAACATCTTATGCAAAGAATGTATGTATTTAATCAGCAAATGTCGTCCCCAGTGTATATGAGATATGCATCAAACGTCAGCTCGTGTTTATGTATATCATAGAGACGTCCTTGTGGAAATGCGAGTCCTATGGAACACGGAGGTTATACTTGCACGTACACTACAGGACGTTTTCTAGTGATGTCAAGGCGGCGATGTGGCGAGCGAAACAATACAGTTCTTTCAATTTCAAAAACAATTAAGACATTTTCATAATTTGAAATATTTTAATATTTGCATCATTTGTGAATGACGAATGTCTATATACAAGAATGTATTTTAATGACACAGCTAACCAACATATCAACAACTCTGAAACAGACAAACTCAACAATTATCAACATGTACAGCAACCTTAATGAGGGCAACGTACACGACAGTTTTCACTTGAAGAAAACATATCAATATGTGTCTTTGGTTAAACTATTGATGACGTAAGTATCGAAACAAACTTTACCTACTTAATTTAATGTACGTTGAAAACCATTTTAAGATTGTTCAAACATTAAAATCCTAAATTTGAACAATTTACACATGTCGTATCGCAGCTCTCACTCACACGACGATTTACTATTCCAACTGGTCCCAGTTCTTGCACCGAAAAGTGTTCAACGTTACCAGAATTTGCCTGCCTGGTGGTCGCTATATGGAAACGTTTCGGCTCCAAGACGTCTTTTGGTTGGGACTGTGTGTTTTTCGAAGTTTGATTGTCAACTACGGGAACCTAAAAGCACTAAATTCGTTCATATGTGACGATCACAGATTGAGGGTATTCTCATACATAAGGCACGACCGAAAATACTGATTGATTAAATATTTGTATGCAATATATTGTCTTTAAGTACACAGTTGTATTCACAGAGTAATAATATCAGTGTCATATTGCCGTCTACAAATATCCTTGGTCGGTATTGCAGTTCGTTTTTCATTTACATCACGACATGCATTGTTGAATTCTTGATGCATGCAACATGGCGCCCATGAAAAGATGGCTGCTTGTAGCACCTTTGCCAACACAAACTTATGCATGTTGTGTTTTAATACGAACATATCACCAGAAACATTAAATTGCACTTTCATCCACATAGTCGAAAAGTCGAAGCATTACACAAGGACATCATTCATTCTTGGAATTGTAATATCATTAGACAGGTGGTCGTCGACCGTGTAGCTTCCCGACGTCGTAGTGTCGTCATCGTTGGCGTCGAAACTGAGGTTCACATCGTCGGAAAACATTCCCCTGGAATTCTCTGTATGACCATTTACATAGAAAGGGCCATCGTTGAAATCGTCACTCTCCATAAAGTTTCTGTCAACGGGAAGATCCGATTGGAATGTCACGTGTTTAGCAGGGCGTTGACTTGATGATCGAATATTGGACTGACTAGCATTGGGAATTTTTTCGAAACTGTTCCCGATGGTTCCTCCAAATGAATTAGTTGACATTTTCCCGAGTCCTTTCACATAGTCAGATGCTTTCTTCTGGCGGTACATTTGGCGGGAAGACAACGTTGTAGACACTGGAAAATACACAAACAAAATATTTAACTTATAAAAAAACATGAACAGAAAATATTTGGCTTTTTATGAGGAGACATACCTACTTAACTCTTACTAAGACTAGAGATGTTAGCACTTTATTACAACAATAGGACTGTCAATTTCCAATCTGTATGCCAAATATTAACAACACTGTTTATTAGCTCTGCTGATGTTTTTCCTGAGTGAGTGAGTGAGTTGAGTTTGACGCCGCTGTGAACATTTTCCCCTGCAAATTGAGAAGCTGGTGACACATTTTCCACTTTCTGTTTAAATTTGTTTATTCTCATCATGAAGTATTTATTCTACCGTTATCATATACAAGTGTTGTATTGTACAGAGTATTGTCAGAGTATGAATTATAGACTCAATGTATAATAATAACATATAATCTTCATAACCTTTGTAGGATGGATTAACGCCAAAATGTATCTTTCTATACTATTTGAAAATAAACATCATCACCAAACAGAAAAAACCCTGAAAACGTCACAAGGATAAATATTGTCAAAAACATTAAAAATATCTAAGACACAATTTCACTGGACCTTGTGGCTGACCCGTGGCTAAAGAAGCCGTCGTCCAACGCCTAATAACAGTATCCACACGTCACTGCACATGCCTAATTGACTGTCTCCATTAAGTGTCTCCGATAATCCCTATTGGATTATGCTGTAGTTGTGGGGCTGGGAGGAAGCCCACAGTGGTGACTGATGCGGGGATATGTCGTTAATGACTGTGACTACACTTCGGTCAAGTCTGACCTATCTGTGATAATCACCACTGTAAGACATGCAATCTACATGCTGTTATTGATCGATCATGATGGTCACTGAGTGCGGTCAGTCACGGAAAGCTGAAGTCGAATCTGGACTCGCTTTGAAGTGGCCAGGAATATATTGTTGTCGTTAACGCTTGTTTAGTCGGGATTAGGCTAATGGGAATTGGAAGCAAAACGACTCGGTCACTCACAGTTAATTATTGAAGCAAAAAGGTATTCTATAAATAAATGCCACGTGCTGTGGGCAGTGGGAAGAGAAAGTGAATCATACTTAAGAGAGCCTAATTCTGAAGCTAAACATACATTTACCATAATGGTTTTACTTCCTATACATAAATGTTGGAAGGGATATTGATAGGGTCGTGGTTAAAATGCTCACATCGAAGGCTTTCGTATTCGATTCCAAATATGCTTACAAATGTGGCGCACATTTTTATGTCCACTGTTATGATATTGCTGGAGTATTTCTAAGCGCGGCGTGAACTCTCGCCCAATCTATTATATTGACTTGGAACATTGAAATACATACCTTTCTGCGTGACTGGAGATGCACGTCCGTGACTATCCTCGTCACTTCCGCCCCGACCACTGTCGCTGGTTGTTGTCTCCCCTGACGTATCGCTGTTGGCATCGTCGCTGCTGCGTCTTGGAGTCTAAACGGAAAGGAAAATATCTTTAGTTCTTTGCTTAAATGATTCACACCAATTACATAGAGAGGTGTCAAAGAATTACAACAAAACGACCACATCTCTTTAAAGGTTCCGTATATCAGTGTGTACTTACGTTAGAATCCACGCCGTGCATTCTTAGCAGATCCTTGTGGATCTTGAGTGCCGTCGACCACTCGTCTGCCGTGGTGTTGCCAGGATACATGCCGTCGTCGCCAGGTTGGGTATTCTGTAAATTAAAACATTATAAATTAAAAAACTCGTCATATGTAGACTCGATCATTAATAAACAGCTGAGTGTTGTAATAAATACCGTTATACTGAAATAGAAGCGACAAGACCATTTCCGTCATAAAGAATATCTGCTTAACTCATGTGTGATTCCGAGTATACCACAAACATGTGTTTATGATGAAACCAGGTTCAGATGGACACACTTAGGGCCAAGGAAACGGACATTCCATTTTGTGTTTTGATAGAGATATTCCACGTTCAGCCCAGACATTCCGATGAGAAGTTGGAGGACGCCGATACACTACATCGTTACAAAGATATCTACATACTGAAATGTGTTATTTAGGTAGACATACCATTACGAATTAAGCGGTTTTCATTGTATATATTATCATCTAGAAGTGAATTATCATCTGAAAGTGAAAATACACATGCTGTCATACCATGGTGTCTAGCGGAGGTCATATACATATACTTTGAGTGTAAAAGTCGTACTGGGAACAAAGACATTAGAGCAACCGGTAAATATATAACTTTGCTGGGGTTGAATGGGTACGTTATTCACAACTGCTTTCCTGTAATTCAAATTGGTTTTGCTTTTTCTGGCCAGGCATGCTTCCATACAGACTCAAATGTCATCGCCAGGCAATCAAGTCGAGCAGCCGCATCGTGCCTCACATCTAGACTATTGTGTGCAACTGTTTGAAACTTCCTCGAGTCAGTTGTAAACTGTTTGTCCTTCAGATAAAGTTGGTGAAAGGGGGCGAAATATTATCACAAACCAGGATTTGTCTAATAATACGAGCATAGCGTTTGAAATATGCACAACGCAATACACCCGTCAACCCGCTCCCATAGGCGATTTAAATTCTACATTCGTCAAGAACAAAATCCAATTTGTCAAGCCAGTGCTAAGATTTAGTCCGTACAAAGTGTTCATTAACCGTGAAATTGAAATACAACGCAGGATAAATGTCTTACCAGGGTGTTGGTATGTACTTAATTTCCTTTTCTCGCGCTATCGGAAATTATGTCATTAGAGGGGCTGATTTGTCGGAAGAATGGGCACCGTTGGAGATAAGATTTCCCTGTGTCCCACCCGAAGGAAGGTCAGGGAATATCTCAAATGTCCACACACCCTATTGGGGTTTAATCGTGTGATATACTCATACACCTTCATCGAGTAACATATTTACTTTGACCAATCCCTGTAAATGTAGTCTTTGTTAACCTTTGCGTAACGGTAAATGATACTTGATCTTTGTGAACATGTCATGTAATGGGCAATCTCAGTTTCGTAACAACTAGTTTCTCAGACTAATAGACGATTGAACCTATGTGTGAACATTGGAAACGTTGATTATTCGCTTTTAACAAACATAATGAGGATTAAACGTCAAAAGTACAAATATTTTAGTGAACATTCTGCGTCTTTGTCGAATGTACCTTGATTTTTTCAACCGACAGATGCTCGTTATAGTTTTGGCTTTTACCATATGCACTGATGAAGAAGATGCTCAATTTTGAACCATAGGCATTCCTTATTAGAATGATAAAGTATCGGGCAAAAGAAAATATACACTTAAGAAGTGATTTGACAAGAGATCGTACCAAAACGTTACTTGGCTGAAAACAGTCGCCCAAAACATAAGTATGACACACGCATCAAATACATCACCGTGGAATGGTCATTTCTCATTTGTTTAATTTTTGTCACCAATACAAGTGGGCGTATACTTTATTTTGACTGGCTGTTTAGTATTAAACTGTTATTTAATAACAAGTATTATGCGCATATTTATACGTACATATTTCATTGGCTCTAATAAAGAATAGTTCATAGCATGCTTACTCAAAGAAATACGTGCATAGGTTATATCACACGAAAAGAATGCCTTTTCGTGATAATATTTTGGCAAATAATGGGATCTTCACGTCAGATTATCAGATGTTTTTTTATGAATTATTTAAGTAATACGTTATATTTCTTTGAAATTGGGATAAAGAAAGTATGACATGGTATGACTACAAACAAATTTTGAATGAAATTACCGTATTCACATATGCTTACAAATTAGTGCACCTCTTAAGCATGACGATTTCAACGGTATATTTAAAATATGTGTTAATGGTTAATACAAGTTAAACACGTACTCATAACAGTACAATTCGTAAGATATTTAAAACACCAAATGCTTAGATAAACAGATCTCGATTTTCCGACAAAAAAAGATTATATTAGGCGCAAAAAGCGAAATAACGGTAACATTAATATGAATGGATTGCTGACAAACGTTCCAACGTTTAAAACACATGTACATATGGGAGGAGAGGGGTTACACAATTTAAATATTAATCATGTCATGATTGTGAACCTTACAGAATAGAGCATGTTGTCAGGTTATGATAATCTATGATAATCTATATCCAGGGGGATTTAATAGAGATCTATTTTTTTCAACGTTCAATTTGGATATAACGCTTCAATGTTTTATTAAACTACCTGGACACATCATGACAACTTCGATTATCTGAATACATGTATACCTATCAAGTTCTTACACGTTGTCTGATGTCGATAGGTACTCTAAAACATTCTTGTCGGTCACAACTTGCTTATTCCGAGGTGATAAATCAGGCATGCGGTGCCATATCATTAACGCTTGGTTTAGGTGGGATGGGTCTGTGGGTGGGAGGTATGCCTGTGCACAGAACGTACCCGTGTCCCACAGAGACGTTTGAAATTTAAGATACGTGTCAGTGATTCCCTAAACATGACTCTTCGCTAAATATTTGAAGAAAAAAATTGAAGCACGATATTATCAAAGCATGAAAGTACTGTAAAATACAGAAACATAACAAAAGAGCGAGTGGTGCATACATCGTGACACTAATAACAATAAACAATATTGTTGTTTTTTGTATTTTCTATATTGATGGTTTGCATTTGTTTGTGGTCGTTAGGTATGATAATTTAGGCTCTCATTTGCAAATTACTTGTTAACAAAATTGTTTCGAATTCCATACAACATATTCTCTAATTCTGTGTTTCTAACAACTGGAAGATCCTTCAGCAATCAATGAACAAATATAACCCAGCTAACTACCGCCACATCAGCTGTGCAATCTACAAGAAGCCATGTCTGTTGCGTCATGCCGACACTCGAGATGTCTGTAGCTGACAATGCTTGTCAATTTCATCAATTTGCGTAATTAACCTAGAAATGTCGCAACGAGCGTCAATCAAAATGTTTGATCTACGAAATTGAACACTTATGCTCTCAACTACCGTGCCTTAAACACTGCAGTAGGTCAGGGGTCTGGTTTTCCGCCCGGGGAAGGGGATACGAACTGGGGTGTGGGGGGAAATGTTAACGAAGTATAGGCAATGGTGTGTATGTATGTAATTAATTGCAGAAACAGACTCGTCAGTTGTGTAAGATGATGTTAACATCAATACTGAAACCCAGGGTGGTCGCGAATGCATTAGATGTAATCTGCGATATCCCACCAGCATTTGTTAACGACAATTTTGTTTATTTTAAAGTGCGCAACGCTGTGGTTAGTGATTGTAGAACATGCTCCCTATAAGATATATCGAATTGCTGTAATTACAGGCAGCTGATACCATCGCCTGATAACGTCATTTTGTCGATAATATTATCAATATTTTGGGGTTCTAATTTTATTTTTGAACTAAAAATGTATATTTTTTTTTTAAAAAAAATAGTACACGTGTTTAGAAAAAAGCTATTTGAAAATGGAAAGCTGGTTTATATTTCAAATTTGCGTGTAAGCAGTAATTATTTGTCTTCTGTACAATAAAAAAGACTCGGTATATCTCGCTCGGCGTTGTTGCAAGCATTATTAGTTGCCAATCAAGTTTAATTTGTTTTGCAATTAACATGGTTCGGTGACATTATGTTATTGTATACAGGGGCTGATTGCTCGTTGAGACAAAGCATAAATCTGTTTAAGTAATCGCCCCAGGCATGTGGTAATGATAACTTAGGTAGACTATTTACCTTGTTATCAGCATGTTTACCTTAGCAGCACATGTCATTTTTTGACATGTCAAACCACGTTTGTTAAATAAAAACAATGTGACAGACGTGCGATTCAACATTATTTTGTAGATTTGAAAATATCAAATTCAAGGATATTTTTTTCAGTTCATTCCCAGTATACATTAAACATCCCAAGAAGCATCAATCACTGAGACGACATTTGTTTTCATTTACAGTCAGCACATGTTTTTATAAAAGTACTCAGTTGGATATCCCTGGAAATTTATCACAGATAATATATATCTATCAGCTTACTTTCTCAGGGCCTCAACTGCCGAAAGGGAGATAAAATTTGACAATACACTCCGTTTCGGCGACTTTTCTTTCCGTCTAAGACGCTCTTATCATCAATATCCCCTTCAAAGTGTTGTATTCCCCAACTCTCTGTGCTCGACAATGCCCCCTGGGCAGTGCTGTGTGAAGCGACGCCTCTTAACCCGTTCAGAGCGCTGGATGTCAAATATTTAGGGTGTCGAGGAGATGGAATGAAAGGGACATGCACAAGGATGGACAAGAAACGGGTGAAAAGTCTGTTCTTGTCGAAACGAACACGAGTATTTGCCGTCCAGACCATTAAAAGAGACCCTTTCAGTTGAAATGAACAAGCGTCAATTTCAGTGAAAGACACTCCACATAACCAGTGAAAGACGGCGACGACTTACTCAGTGTCAGTATATTCGGGTTTTAATCACCCGTCCCCACAACAGTAAACAGAAGCACATATATTGGTTTTATGATCTGAAAGACGGCTCCGGGTGATTTACTGTTGTAGTCTCATGCAGTGGCTGGATTAAGAGATTTTTGTCAATGACATATTTTACCTGAGAATGAAAGTAATCTCGAAGCGTGAAAGATAACAATATATTCTCCACAATACCATTACACCCTCGACCTAGTTCTTGGTGAATAAACATTTCATAACGTGTTATCTTAAGAGATATTCATGTAAAATATATCATTTGTGAAGCGTACTTAAAGAAGATATGCGTTTTACACTGAATCAACGAAGTGTCGTCTTAAATGTTATAGCTTTGAGAGGGTCGTTATCATTTGTAGAAATTTAAGTTTCACCCCAGTCGAGATATCACAAGCTATTGGAATTTTCGGTTCATTGATTCGTTTACTCAAGAGGATTGTTGAAATTTTATGACATTTCATTTAAAAGAATTTCATCATAACTACCCGAATTTATGATCTTAAGTTAAACTGAACGACCAGTACTTGCAGCGAGTAACTATGGCAACAGGAGCTATAATCGTTTTGATGTTTGAACAACTAATGACATTATACTGAAAATAAGTTTAAATAGGAGTTAGAATGTGATGGAATTACTTGCCCACAAATAAAAGGTTACGAAACAAAGCGACTAAGATTATTAAGAATTCAATCTTAAATTGAAGAAACACGAGACTGTTTTATTGCTGGATTCTGTTCAAAGTTAAACTTTTATCACTCACATATCGTAAAACTGAGTGCAAAATAAACACCATGTGTAACATGGATCGCCTATATTGGAAAGCGAAGTCACAGATAATGAAACCTTTGAAGCAAAGGTTCCAGGGGTATGTGCAAATATTTTAAAGGTCAACCACAGGAATATACAGCCATTGAAGGGCCGTTTCCTCCCCCTAAGGGTCTTTATTTGACCAGCGCTGACCACCGTGATGACCAATTCATTGGCTCATCGAAAAATTGTTACTTTGAAAGTCAACGACTGATCCTGTTTGCTCGGTCTCTGGAAGCACACAACAGTTGGGTAATCTTTAAGTGGGCAAACTGCTCTCGTTCTCATTTATGTTAAAATTGTGTAACATAGCGCACACGTTGAAGTAGGGCTGATGGGGAATTCACAGTATGTTTTCTTTGGCTGTGTCAATCTGTTCTAGCGGTACAGATGAAAGCGGGTTGTCATTAAGTATTGCACTAAAAGGTGTTTGTAGTTACAGAAGAATGGACTTTGAGGATTGGGAAAGAATGAGGTGTTTATATGGTAGATTACCCCTGGCCTGATGCAATATTAATGCATTTGCTACTGGACAATGAAACAGATTAAGGTGTCATAAAACAGTCGGGGGGTAACACTGCAGAAATGGACGTAGTGTGTTATCGTTACTTAGATTGGCAAGGACTGATTGGAGTGATTGATATGCCTACGAGGGAAAATATATATATTTCATGCCGAGATGTTATTTATCTCATAGATAAAGACGACGCTATTAAGATACGCTGACAAATGATTGATTGAAATATACACGATTTTATCTGTTCAAGAGATGAATTTCAACAGATGCAGCATCACACAGCCTCCGTCCTCGCAGAGTGCAGATCTAATTCAAATAACAGAGAATATAGTGAATACAGAATATAATTGTATTCTGCTTATTTACTCAAGTAAAAAATGCATTATCGTGGACAATAGAAATCATTTAATCTATTCATGAAACGAATATGGTATATTTAATTATGGAACATATTGGGACTTTATAAGGTCACGCTTGTATGTCACGTGACCCTGACTGCAGTACTAATTACAAATAGCCTGGCAAGGTAAATCTCTCATGCCCTCAGGGTCATATCTATATTCTGATATCGACAATATCATCAACGTCAGGGCATGACACCTACACTGGAGCTTGATTGACAGCAAGGTGTAGATTTACTAATACAATATGTACGAATGCATTACATGAACGCGTATTACAAGTCTTACATGAAGTAATATAATGGAATTAGTTGTGTTTCTGGTGGTATACGAATACGCTTTTTCCAGTTATTTTTAAGTGAACAGTATTATATGTAGTTACATGTATTACATCATAGTTTGGAAATCTTCAATCAAAACGACAAGAACGGTTAGTATATGAACAATTAATATTTGAGATATGTTACTTTAATTTAAAGGTTTGCTATTGAAATGAGATTAATATATAAACAATGACTATATTTTAACACTTGTTTCATTCTAAACACCTAAAGGATTGTAACACGACCACGCGATTGTCTTGTATTATACCCCTCTCTTCTCCTTTAGCACCTCAAGTTTTCTTTAGAAAATAGTATATTTTACAGATGTGTTATTCGGAATGAACAATTAAAGACTTGGCTGAACTTCAAGACAACAATATGAGAAAGTGTACATGTAGAAACCGATCAAAAACTTTATTGTGTTAATGCCACGTTTTCAACCATTTAATGTGACATGGTCATGTCGAGAGACAGAATTCGATACATGTCTTACGTCGAATATGACAAATAATTTCAAAACTATTTACCTGAGTGCCATCTCCAGGCCCTAGTATCAGCTTGCCATGGCTGTCTATCGACATGTGACTGGAAGCCTGGGAGTCGAAGGAGATGTCGTTGCGGATGACGATGGCGTCGTGCGTCTTCACCTTCACTTGTTCATTTTCAGCAGGGGTCGGGAGCTGTGGTACAGAATCCCCCCGTGGAGTCTTCCTAGCCCTGTCCGCCCGCTTTATAATGAGGATCGTGACAATCACCACCACGGTGACGATGCCGGTGAGGCTGCCAAGGATGACCACAACGATGGCGTTTTCCTCTGACATTCCAGGACCGTCGTAATACGTTTCATTGCTGGCGAAAATGTACACCTCCAGCGTGGCATTGGAACTTAACTGTGGAATGCCTTGATCAGTGACGATGATGACCATTCGGTATTTGCCGACATCTTCCTCTGATAATTTCCTTTTCAGAAGTAACTCCCCCGTGTGGCTATTGATACCAAACGTGTCGGTCTCCACCCCAGTGTTTGTTTCCCGATCCTCCCAAGTTGGGGGAACTCGGCGTTGCCCCCTGGCCACGTAGAACTGAAAACGAGCGTTGATCCCTTCATCAGCATCATTAGCAACAACGGATAGAATAGGTGATCCAGGGCTTGTGTGGTAGGGGATCGCGATTGACGAGTTGACAGGATCGGGAGATTGTATCTTCGGCGGATTGTCATTTTCATCACCGACTTCTACTACGACGGTAGTTGAGCTACTTAGAACGGGCACGCCTTTGTCCTTTGCCCATACCTTAACCCGAAATTCCTTGACCATCTCGCGGTCCAAACGCCGGGTAGTACGCAACTGACCACCGGGCAAGATTTCAATCGGAGGGTCATCAGAGTTGTCATCAATGCTGTACACAACTTCACCATTCACCCCGGTATCAAGATCCAAAGCATGAACCTTGTCAATTTCAGTCCCAGGCGCGCGGTTCTCCATAACCTTGAACTTGTACAAACTAGACTGAAAGCTTGGCTCCACGTCATTCACGTCATCGACGGTAATCATCAACGTCGCTGTCGCGTTTCTCGGAGGGTTACCTCTATCTCGAGCTACAATTGGAACTGCCATTTTCGGCATAAACTCCCTATCGAATTCGACAGCAGAGATCACCTCCCCAGTTTTCAATACATCAAGTCCCATTTTATCTGCGTAGGGTATAATGAAGTCAATTTCCCCGTTCGAGCCTGAATCTTTATCGCTGGCTCGAACTCTTGTTATCACGACTCCTTTGACATTCTCGACTACAGAGGCGGTGTACACATCTTTACTAAACACAGGCGAGTTGTCGTTTTCGTCCTTGACAAGAACCGTGAAGTCGATAGTAGTGTTGAGAGGAGGATTCCCTGCGTCCTGACACGTCACCGTGACGTAATGCTCCTTCGTCACTTCACTGTTCAACGGCCTCACGACGATTACCTTGTATTCATTAACGTCAAGTCCTTGCAGTTCGAACATCACGCTGACAATGTTGCAACGAATTATCCCATTCCTGCCAGAATCAAGGTCAAGGACGGCAATATGGGCGACAACGGTGCCTGGCTGAGCATATTCAGATACCAGGCCTCCGTACAGTAGATTGAGGTTAATGGATGGTGGGCTGTTAATAGTATCTTCAACATATATCTCAACGGTGGCTTGAGATATTAAAGGTGGACTCCCACCATCCACACATTCAACGTAAAACATAAACCTTTCTCCCTGGGCCCCTTCAAGGGAAGAGACAACAGTAACCTCTCCTGTCGTATCGTTGACGTCGAAATAGCGTTTTACGTTGCCCGATTGTAACGGGCTGAACCTGTAGTAGGCAACGCCGTTCTCTGGGATGTCCGTGTCCGTTGCCGTCACCCTGAAGATTGCCGTATGTTCCAGTGTGGTTTCTCGTACCGTGACGTTGTAAGATGCGGGGGAGAAAACGGGAGCGTTGTCGTTGACATCAATAACGTCGACCGTCACGCTGACGCTGCCGGTGGAGGCAGGATTTCCGCCATCTTTTGCAAAGATTGTGATTTGATGACTGCTGGCAGTTTCTCTGTCCAGCGCGTGCCTTACAACGAGGCTGACGATAGTTCCACCATCTAAACGGCTGACCACGTGGAGTGTAAATGGACTGTCATAGGGCGTAAGTTCATAACTTTGAAGCGAGTTGTTACCAATGTCTTTATCAACAGCCCCATCAATAGCCAAAGATGAGTTGATGGAAACAGCTTCCGATATTTCCAGATCTATGGATGGTTTCGGGAACACAGGCTTATTGTCATTGATATCTTGCAGATAGACACTGGTCCATATCTTTCTGAAATATTGACTTGTCGATGACTGAACTGCCACTTCTAGATCTAACACACACTGAAATGAAAAGCCACAAATATCTTCCCTGTCAAGCTTCAGCGCCGTGTAGATTTCACCTGTAGTGTTGTGAATAGTGAACAAGGCACTGTACGGGTATCCCTGCGTGAGGAAGCTGTATCGTAGAGTTCTCATTGCATCGTCTGATAATGCTGATTGCAAATCAGTGGCATCGGATATCCTTCCAACAAATGTTCCAGCCTGTTGTTCCTCGTCTATCCGAAATGTCAAATCTTGACTGACACATGTAGATATCAACACTGTTGTTAATATCACGACATACATCTTCAAACCCATATTGACAGCTTCACAGTTATCCCACTCGAATCATAATCCACGAACACTGGTAGAATCTTGTTAATATCACTCTGACGTCGTCTTCGGAGCTTGTATATTTCCTTGTGTCAATATACAACTGAGGTATATTTCACTGGTGATATTGTCGATTTCAACCTGTAACACAAGATACACACTTTAGAGAAATCGTGTTTGCAGCAAGATCACTCGACGATAATTAGGTTGTTCTTTAGCCCCTCTAAACATGAAAAGGGATCTAATGTGGTTTGTAAATCTCTGTCCAAACTCCCAACGAACGACTACCAAACATGCCTCTACAACTCGGGGTATCCGTGGCTGTCACAAACTCATCTCTCCTTGCCCACGCCTCGCGCTACTATCAACACTACCACGGTGTTTCAATGTGCTGTGATCATGTTTACAGCTCCTGTATACAGACCAAACCACGCCCCCAAGCCAGTCAACCAACCATAGCCCATCAGCTACTGACTCGCGCCGCAGGGAGCGCGCTTTTCTGACAATGAATGGATTCGCTGCTTTAGCGATTACTTCCCTTTGACAAAAGTGGGGTATGTTGAAGGGTGTTATTCAAGTTAATCCATCGTGCATTAATGGGTTGCTGTCGCTGTTTGATGAGGAATGTAAAGTATAAATATAATGTTTGCATGCGATTCGCAGTTTTCGTTTTGACAAGTGTAAAATACACATAATTCGTTCAATCGTGAAGATGTTTATATAACAATTCTTGAACAATTCTTAACGTTTCCTTGACAGTGTGAGTGAGCTCATACAACATGTATACCGATTATGAATTGGTCTGAGGTGTAAGGCGTTAACGTAATGACGAACCGGCGATGATGATAGATGACGCAGCATAGACTACATTACTTATATAGATACGTTAAGGATGCACCCAAGGTCTTGCAGGCAGTGTTGTTTTGGCAAGTAATTATTGAGAAGAACACCACCACCACCAATAATAATTTAATATTGATAACAACAACACTAACATCGACTACGTCCTACCATCATTACTGTTGTTGCTCCTACTACTATTACAACAATTACTACTACTACTACTTATACTACTACTAATACTACTTATACTACTACTATTACTACTACTACTACTACTACTACTATTACTACTTATACTACTACTACTACAACTAAGACTACTATTACTATTACTACTACTACCATTGCCACTACTACTGACCGCCTCCGTGGTGTAGTGGTTAGAGCGTCCGCCCGGAGAGCGGAAGATCGCGGGTTCGATACCCGACCGCGTCAAGCCAAAAAGACGTTAAATTATGGTACTTGTTGGTCCCTGCCTGGCACTCGGCATTAATGGGTACAACAAGGACTGGTCGGCTCGGAGTCAGTATAATGTGTATGAGTGGGGTATTCATGCTTCACTGCGGCATGGTATCTCAGTTGGCTAGCACTATAAAACCAGCTTCAGTCTGGGCTAGTACAAGCAGCCGCACATACACATACACACGCATGCACGTCGTGATATGAGCGAAATATTCTCAAGCACGACGTTAAACCCAATTTCACCTCACCTCACCACTACTACTATTACTACTACTACTATTACTACTACTACTACTACTACTACTACTACTATTACTACTACTACACTACTGCTACTACTCAAAGCACAAATCATTCTCGTGAACATTTCAACATTTTATGGTTCGAATATAAATATAACACACTGCATATTTCTTTATAAATATTACATATTTAGCATTTATAATTGTTGCATCTCAAGTATAAAAGGCCTTGTTCTTTGAGCGTTTGCTCGACATGCCGAAGTTTCTCACATGGGTACAACTCTCGATATTACCAGACCATTGCTAAAAGCGGAAATCTACTCATACATACTTTATATTAGCACTGATAACAACGACAAAGGCTCAAAGAGATTCCGGCCGACAAACCACTAACATATCACACGGTCAGTTAGGATTCCTCCTGGAGTGATGACGTAATGTTATATGTCATTGGTTGGGGCTTCTCCTGGAAGGCCTGTTGATGTGTTGATAAGTATGGACTATGGACTGATAATAAGGACAGGCTGTTCATGTGGTGTGAAGCGAAACAATGGTATCGGGATTTCATCAACATTTTTTCACATTATTGATGTGCACTTGTTGGTGTTGATGATCATCCATCATCTTTCAATATTCCGTGTTACGAGTGTATGAACATTGCGGCATTGTGTAATTGACTGTCATTGGTGACTGGACACCACTTGATGACGGTGACCATTAACGTGGACAGCTTCATATATGTTTCATACACACTGATATGATCTGAATCGTGAAGTCGGCTCTGGTTTTAACCAAGTTTATTCATACAACCGACTTTTCCTTCCTTCCTTCATTCTTGCGATATTGTATTTCCGACTGTAACGAAAATGATCTAATTATCAAATGTCAACCCGTGGACATAAAGTATTGAGCTGAGTGCTCCGTTAAACAACAAACAACATTCGTTCGTTTAATGGTTTTAGGGATACACGAGCGAACGGACAGTATTAGTCCACAGACACTCTGGTATATCATAAATATTGTGATACCTTAGACTTAAGCCTTGCATATTCACTCCTCTCCTACCTGATTTAACTCATCAAACAGCTTCACACAAAAGGTACACCAATTATCATTAGTCTAGATAATCCTCCAATCCTCTAAGCCTGTCAGTCTTTACCTATCGGCTGTAAATTACCGTTAGTCATCAAAGGCGATAGGTGTATGCGTACACCTTTCACTCTCATTCAAAGACGCGCGCGTGTCCCTCGAGAGTAATATGGGTATCTTGATACCCGGAAGATCCTAGGTCCCCTTTTGTTTAAGGGGGATTATGTCATCATGTCTGCTGAGAATCTTACACCTGCAAAACCCATGAGTGCATTTAATAGATTAGATCTGGATTAGCGGAGTAATTCTCTCATACTGAATTTAATAAACCATCATAAAACGGAGGTCGTAAATATCTCTCTTTGACACTTAACCACAACAATGTGACACGTGCTGATTTTATCGAATTCTTCGTTGGTATTACGGAAAAATCAATATTCTTATATTCAAAAGAGAAGAGATGTTATGAGTAAAACATGGTTGACAATATTACAGAAACTGGAAATATATTCGCCTAAAACTTTACTTTGTAACATCGCAAATCTCGATGCTTGTGTTAAAGAAAACTAGTCTTCATGCGCTTCCTTATTCAAGGTATATTTCAGTAGTATAATCATTACACGCATCCTTATGTGCGATTCACTATGCGTAACTGTAATTACCTATATTCAAATAGTGAAGTGGCACTGATCCTATGCTACGCAAGTCAGAGTCCTGCTCACATTACGAAGCAACAAGTGCCAATGTCTGTACAACCTGACAATGAACACCCCAGTAGGCACTTCACTCATGTGTACAAAGCTTCATAAATCGTTGTTTACTCTAGATGTCATCTCAAGTTACCAAAGTTCTCGAGTACCTCATTATACCCTATACATTTTCCTTTTTTCCCGGCTGGTTTTAAGCCAGTCTTACTTCCATATCGGATAATTAGCCATAATTGTCCCCCTCAGACGTAACCGAGTGGTCACTTGTACAACGATGCCACCTAACCCTGCGAACAATGATACAAGTTTCACGTATACATAATAACACTACCTGTATAAGACGCTAATGCGGGTACATCACGATCTCTGCGCCTATAGAAAACAAGACCGGACAGAGAATACAACCCTGTCACAGAGATAGAGATATGCCATACGCGTGAAACAAATGGCCGTCAAATTACCACAGCATCTGTTGAGGGACTAAAGTGGGTAAAAGGGGGCAGTGGGGTTGAAAGGGACCCCCTCTGTCACTGTCTAGCCCCCCGTCACTTGCCCTGTGAGAGTTTCTCCCTAACATTAGGGCCTGACAGGGGATTTGGAACCCTCGCTCTTATCTGCTAGATGGTCAGTGTGATAAGGATGAATAGCAAATTATTGTGTCGTTGCTTAATGTTAACCCAAGCTTAAATATGTTTTGTGCTACTTTCTTACGGATCAGTTTTGACACATTATATTATTTGAGCTTAAGATGTGCTGATAAACACATTTTCCAGTTTGATTTTGCAGAAAGCACTGGACGTGATAATGGTATCTTGGTGGCCGATATCTGACTCGACGAATTATAAGTGAGGTGATCGGATGCACACGCTAACATAAACGTTCGCTGACTTCAGGAGCAAATCTTTTTCAAAGATGACAAACTGAAGATATATGATATGAAAAGAAATATACGCAAATAGCATGTATACGTTTCATACAGAACAGAAATGTGACATATTTGTCATGCACATTAACAGAATAGCAGAGAATGAAATTATGGGAAAATAACAGTATTTTTTATGCATTTCGATGATTATCCTATCCATTTGATCAACTCAACACCTTTTGCAAACCTCCTGCTATGATTCTTGATATTAGGCAGCTTCCATTACTACACTACATAAACATAGCTATCACTTCGACACGAATACTTTAAATTTGCTTTTAAACCTTAAAGACGACATACATGAAACTTCAAATGTATTATTTACTTTAAATATACAAGGACTGTTTACAACCCCCCTACCCCCACCCACTGTTTTCCTGCAACTCCAGTTACCTGCCACACCTGACTTCTACCCCTTGCATGCACGTCTCCAGTGACCGAGAACACAATGGCACATTAGACTTATTTCACGGTAAAATCAAAGCTCAGCCACCATTGTTCCTCCTTGAAGCTGAGGAACTCGATCTACCAAGCGTAAAATGCTGAAAAACGTTTATCACTCTGTGCACGCACAATTTCAAGCACTGTCTCTTGGATAAGAGGAAGACCACGGTAGATTATTCTTGTTCGGACACTGCAAAGATTTCATCCAAGCCGCTGTTCAGTGGGCAGAAAATGTCCCCTCTCTTTACTTTCAGATTAACGAACACCCTGCAATTATTCGGCAATAAACAACGTTAACGTTTCAATGTTAACAATAACAGACGGGTTTACATTATCTGTTACGGTCGTGTTATGGTATTAGCTGTCAACGATCGCTATCTGTTGTCTGTGGTTCGGGCAGTTGGTAATATAGGGATGGGTTAAAAGATT